ATAGGTAATATTTACCAAGTGGACACAGTATACCAGATACGGTGTCAAGGAGTTTACATGTACCATACGTTTAATTTCCACAACAGCAACTATAGGTAGATTTGATTACCCCTATGTACAAACGATGCACACAATAAACACTTTACAGATACAGATGGTTGCAAGTTATGGATATTTCAACTTACAATTTTTCAATTTTACGATGGTGCAAAAGCCAACCAGACAACCACTGATTTCTGATCTCCACAATGATGTGAAAGCGAATCCATTCAACCACTGATTTCTGATCTTCATGATGGTGCAGAAGTGGACCCAATACAACCACTGACTTCTGAAGCTTAGGATGGTGTGAATACAACCATATAGCCACTGATTTCTAATCTTCACGATGGTGTGAAAGCGAATCCACATGACCACTGATTTCTGATCTTTACAATGATGCGAAAGCGAATCCATACAGCCACTCATTTCTGATCTCCACAATGATGCAAAAGTGAATCCATACAACCACTTATTTCTGATCTTCATGATGGTGGATTCAATACAACCAATGACTTCTGAAGCTTAGGATGGTGCCGGTATAGCCCTAGAGGCACTGACTTATCATCTTCACGATGGTGTGAAAGCGAATCCACATGACCACTGATTTCTCATCTCACGATGATGCGAAAGCATAACCATGTAGCCACTAATTTTCACTTTCAGTGTGATAATAAATTACACAAGACATCCAGCACTTGATCATTGAATAGGCTTTTAGACATTCCCAATTCAGGCTATTGAGAATGATTTGGAGCCTTTTTAAGGCAGGTCAGGCAAGGCTCCAGTATTTGGGCAGTGTACTAAGCAACTCTTTGAATGGTATTTTCAACACAGGACAGGCTTATTGGGGTGTAATCCCACTGTATTCCGAGGTGCATCTGTAATGCCCAGGGGTGACAGGAAGTGTGCTGGGTGTCTCACAAGGAGAAAGGAAACGGGACACTGCTGATTCTCTGTGGGTATGTGCTACGATTAAAGGCTTCTTTCCTCTTTGTATTATTTAGCTGGGGTGTTCCCCAGAATGAACCCGAAACGTCATAAAGATGGGATGGTACTGACCGACTGTGCAGACGCAGTGGGGTGATCTGGTAAAACCTTGGGACCAACGTTTGCTGTGATCATAAAGAAAAGTGACTTCTTTGTGGCTCATGTGTGCCTCTGGCATTGCCAGCGATGTTGTGAGTGTGAGGATGACCGAGGAAAGCTTTGCTATATTAAACTAATAGTGACTTTCTCCTCACAGCAAGGAAGGAAGGAGTGGAGGGCGGCAGCTTCCAGTGCTTGCTTTCCATGGCCTCCTAGCTCTTGTGCACTCTCAGGTGTCCCTTCAGGTGGCTTGCGTGCTTGCACACCTTGCCACACTCCTAGCAGACATGGGGTTTGGCTATGTGGGTCTTCTGGTGCTGGGTGAGCTGATGGCTGTGGCTGAATGCCTTCCCGCAGGCCTGGCATGAGTGTGGCTTCTCCCCGGTGTGGATGCGCTCGTGCTTTACCAGGCTCGAGCCGTAGATGAAGGCCTTGCCACACTCCCTGCACTTGTAGGGCGTCTCCCCAGTGTGGATGTGCTCGTGCTGGGTGAGGTGGTAGCCGCAGTTGAAGGCCTTGCCACACTCAGTGCACTTGTAGGGCTTCTCCCCGGTGTGAATGCGCTCGTGCTTCACCAGGCTGGAGCCCCAGCGGAAGGCCTTGCCGCACTCCTTGCACTCGTGGGGCTTCTCTCCTGTGTGGATCTTCTGGTGCTGCGTGAGGTAATTCACGCGCGTAAAGGCCTTGCCACACTCCTGGCACTCGAAGGGCTTCTCGCCGGTATGGATGCGCTTATGCTGGATGAGGCTGGAGCTGCAGATGAAGGCCTTGCCACAGTCCTTGCACTCGTAGGGCTTGTCACCGCTGTGGATGCGCTTGTGCTGGATGAGCTTGTAGAGGCGGCTGAAGGTCTTGTCACAGTCCTTGCACTCATAGTCCTTCTCCCCTGTGTGAAAGCGCAGGTGTTGGGTAAGTTCATCGCCCCGCCGGAAGGCCTTCCCGCAGTCCTTGCAGGTGTACGGCTTCTCCCCAGTGTGGATCCGCCTGTGGATGACCAGGCTGGAGCCCCAACGGAAGGCCTTGCCGCAGTCCTTGCACTCGTAGGGCTTCTCCCCCGTGTGGATCTTCTGATGCTGCGTGAGCTGGTTCCCCCAGCGGAAGGCCTTCTTGCACTCTTTGCACTCATAGGGCTTCTCACCTGTGTGGATCTTCTGGTGCTGGCTCAGCTGATAGCTGCGGCTGAAGACTTTCCCACACTCTGTGCATTCGTAAGAGCTCTCCTTGTGTGCCCTCACAGCAGGTCGAGGTGGGGCATTTTCTCCAGCCTGTGGTTCCTTATGGGAGTTGGTTGCCACCTGGCTGGAGTTCCCTTCTTGACTGGGGTTCCCTTCTTGGGTGCTGATCCCCTCTTGGCTGGGGTTCTTCTCTTGGCTGGGGTTTCCAACCTGGCTGAGATTCTCATCCTGGCTGAGATTCCTACTCTGGCTGACAGTCCCACCCTGGCTAAGCTTCTCGCCCTGGTCGAGATTCTGGCCGGGGCCAAGATTCCCGCCCTGGCTGAGATTCCCCTTTTTAGAGCCTTGGGATCTCTTCGACTCACTTTCACACATCCCATTAGCTGGACAGGATTTGCTTCTGATTCGTGCATTCCTTCTGTGAAGATTCATTTTAGAAATGCTCTTTCGGATAGCTGAATTCTTACCTACGTTTGGTGACCGCAAATCTGGAATTTAAAATAAAACAGATCAAAACATCCTTTCTTCCTTTTGCACAAAAACCTAGTCACACAAAAACTTGTCTGCTCAAACAAATGAATTGCCAAGTGCTCTTGTTCAAGCACGGATCCTCCTGCTGGCACCGTAAGGGCCAGGACCCATCCTGGGGTGATACTGCAACAGATGGATGAAGGAAAGGTCACCCTACTGTGTCTAAGAAGCTGCCATCATCAAGGAAATGAGCAGGAATTCTCAAAGAGAAGATGAAAACAAGTATGCTCTGTAGGTGATGTGGTGGGAAAACTGGAACACCCAGGAAATTGAATTTGGAAATACTCTGGTATCTAAAACTATACACTTTAGCAGTTGGGCCTCTGTTATAAAAGCTGGGAGGTGGAGGAGAGCAGAGCCCACGTCCTCCATCCTCCCAGGGTGCAGTCAGCTTCTTGTTACCTGGCACACACACACATGAGGAGAGGGAGTCCAGCCCGTTGTGCACCAAGAGCAAGATGATACAGGCATGGTGCCCGCCTCTGAGAGCAGTAATAGAGCCCGGCAAGCTCCGCGACCTAGTGTTTTCATGAGCTGTGAGTGAAAGCACCGAGGTGCTGCTTTTGCATGAGTGCTGTGCGATGGATGATGGGATCCAATTACATGACCGTTACTTTCCCAAGAGGAAGGTAAGTTTCTGAGATATCTGCAAAATACTGCTGTTTAGTGCTTAAAGCAAAGCTCATGGGCTCTAACTTTCAACTTCACTTCTGCTCCTGTCGGAAACAGTCTGCTCACCTTGCTCTTTCAGGAATTGTGTCTGCACTCTGGACAAATCAGAGCCCTGCAGTGCAGTGTTCTCTGTAGAGCTGGGTCCCCATAACACCAGAGCACATCAATGGCAACCTGGGTATCAATGTCACATCATGGGCTGAACCTGGTTTCTGGGACGATGGTCGTGAGACACACACACACCTGGGGACCCTGACTGAGGGCAGGCTTGGGACATGAAGGAAGAGAAATAATTACATAGAAGCCCAAGGTTGGGAGGTAACTGGGCTCTAGGGAGGCCGATGTCTGTGATGATGCCTGCTTGCATGCTGACAAACCTCGCCTAGGCTTGGAGGAAGGAAGTTAATGGGAATCTGGAAGGGCATCTCAGAAACTGTCAGGGAAGCAGACTTCTGCTCACTCAGGAGGCGACTCACTCACCTAGGGAGACCAGGTTGCTGTAGTTCTCCAGCATCACATCCCAGTACAGGTCCCTCTGGGCAGGTTCCAGGCACGCCCACTCCTCCTGAGAGAAGTCTATGGCCACGTCTGAGAATGTCACCACACCCTGGGAACACAAACCGCAGGGTCCTGAGGAGATGGTGGGGAGGAGCTGTGGAGGAGAGGGCGCTGTGTGTGCCCCCACCCTGTGCACACGGTGACATCGCAGCTGAGACTGAGAAGTGGTTCTCCCTGTGGCTACCTGGACAGCTACCAGCCCTCTGGGTTCCTGATGGCTCAGACCTGCCCGTTGGGAAAAGCATTCCTGCTTCCCTGTTGGTTACAAGCGCAAGAGTGCCAGCATAGGTTCCTATAGCACCTTGCCTCCCACCAAAGGAAAAAAGAATACCGAGATTTTTGTAATGTTTTTATTTTAGAAGATGTGGTTTGCATGTTTCCAAGCTTCAAGTTCATTATCATGTGAGATTACACTTTCAGCAGGCTTCCTTATTTTTTAATTTTTAAGATAGCATCTCACAATGTTGCCCAAGCTGGCTTTGAACTTGCCTCAGCTTCCAGAGTAGCTGAGATTCTATGGTACCTCAGTTCACGTGGTGCCTCTGTATGTCAGGTTGCAAACAGAAGTATCTGGCAAAATTCTGCTTCTGTTTGTGAACTCTATCACATGTTGTACACAACTGCAGCCCTCTTCCCCAGAATCCTAGACAAGTTAAGTTTATAAACCCAGGCACTAGCGTACAAGCAGGCAGGACCATGCCTGGCTTAGGCTTCCTTTGTAAAGCATTTTTAAAAAATTACACCCCACAGACAGTTGAGTCTGACACACAGAGCCTGAGCAGAAAGCCAAGACATCTCCAGTTCAGGGAGGATGGGACCGCCTCCGAGCTCAGCACTGTGTGACACTCCAGCTGTCTCCACTCTCCCTTTCCTTCTCTCATTCCTGATGTAGAAGAGGACGTTAGAGCAAATAATTCACAATCATGTGGAGGCTGCTGTAATGACAAATTTAAAAATTTTTTATTGTGTATGGTTTTCTTAAGACAGGGTCTTGCTATGGATCAGAGGCAGACCGAGCTCATGGTGATTCTTCTGCCTCAGCCTCCTGCATCCTGCTGGGAGTACAGGTGGGAACCCAGCTTGATTTTGTCAATTTTAAAAGCCACACATGGTAAGACTGAGATGTGAACACCCCCTCTTACCTATGAACATTCCCTCTTATTTACCCAGAAGAAGTGGCGGTGGAGTCTTGCTTTCCCAGGGCCCCGCAGGACCAGTGTAGCTAACTCACCATATCAGGGACCTAGTTCATATTTCCCCCAACAGACTTTGCTCCTTCTTGGTCCTGTCACTGCTCTGGACAAAAAACTGAGCACAAAGAGGAGACATGAATGATCTGTGCAGTGACCAAGTAGACAGCTGGAAGACAGGCGCAGGGCTTTCTGAGATTTCATTCACTGGAGCACGGAGCTCTGGGAAGGGGCCTGCTTAGGCGGGCAGCTGCAGTGAATTCACAACAGCATCCGTGAGCCCATCTCATTTCAAGGAAAGAGACACACTTACGTGGGCCGTAGTCTTGGCTCTCAACGCTGGATTGGTCATCTTGGCGTTTCCTCTATGGGAGACAAAATCCGAGAGGTCAGAGGTGGGGATGAGAAAGACATTAAACCAGCTGCATGGTGGGTCCCCAAATGACTTAAGGTGACCTCTCTCCTCCATCCTTGCTTCCCAAGACACACACACACGCACACACGCACACAGAGACTCCCCATGTAAGACCCATCTGAGAAGAACTGAGAGGGTTCTGGAACCACACCCCTGCACCTGGAAGCCTTCCATTATCTGTTCACTGATTTCCATGTGTTAGATACACACTCCAACACAGCAGGAAGACAGGCTGGCTCCTGCTGGGGTGAGTGGGAGAGGTTAGGGTGTGGTGAGGAATCTGGTCTTGCCCAAAAAAGATCCAGGCTCTGCCCTGTGATCCTGAGAGTTAACTGCATTGTTTGTGACAGAAAGGGCTTTTTTTGTTTCAGGTGTGGGCTAGCTGTGCTGGAAAACCAGCATGGTGACTCCAGAGGAGACCAGGGGTCACACAGCATCAGCCCACCTGAAGATGGGGTTGGGCTGGGTATGCAGATGATTGGTCACATCTGGCTGCTGAGCCCCTTAAGGACCCTGAGTGTCAAAGCCTGAGTGACACTAATTTTTTTTTTTTTTTTTTTTTTTTGGTACTGGAGGACTGAGCTCATGACCTTGAACATGCTAGGCAGGCGCTGTGCCGCTGAGCTATGTGCCTGGCCCTGAGCGTTACTAATTCTACAGTGTGTACTGCTCACTGGCCACATGGCGAGACACGGTCAGTAAGGCCTGTGTGTCTCAAGCATGAGTAACAGAACCTAACGCACTTGAGGATACTGGGTCGGCTGCTGTGATGAAAGATCACCCGTTTCATTCATGTGTGCATGTATGTATGTACGTATGCACACATGTGCCTTTGCATGCACGCATGCATTTTTGTGCATACGTATTTACTGTGGCGCTGGAATCAGCTCAGCCTGTGCACGCCAGGCGCCTTCTCTGCTCTTGGGTCCTTTTTACAATGGGAGCTTTGCAGACGCCTTTGCTCCTCATGATTAATGATCAGGGTGCAGTGCTCTAGAAACACTGTCATATCCACGCTTAGGGGCGGGAGGCAGGGCTGGAGGTGCATAAAGCAAAACATTCAGTCTCGGGGCTGGGGATTTAGCTCAGCGGCATAAGCACCTGCCTTGCAAGCAGGCGGTCGTGAGTTTGATCCCTGGTACCAATAAAAAGTTAAAAAAAGTTAAAAAAAAAAAAAAAACAACAGTCTGCATTTCCGGTGGCACAAGGTGGGGTAGGGATCTTGAGTGTCTTCTTTAGGAGGTATGCCAAGGCCTGATGCTTTTTCCTTTTCAACAGGCCTACATTAATTCAGTTATAAGAAATGTGAATGGAAAGCTGGACACAGGGGCACACACCTGTGACCCCAGCAGTTTGGGAGGCTGAGGAAGGAAGATAGCAAGTGTGCCTAAAGAGACCTTGTCTCAAAACAAAGAATAAGACAGGGCTGGGATGCAGTTCAGTACCAAAACACTGGGTTCAATCTCCAGTATCGGGGAAAGAAAAGAAATATAACAAAAGACATCAATAAACTAACAAAAATGTAAGAGGAGAAGGCTGGGGCTGTTGCTCAGTAGTTTTTGCCTAGAAATGGCCCACAGCAGGGAGGAGCAGGTACACTGTGGTCACTACTAAAACTCTAAATGGAGCGGCCTGGGCAGCAGGAGCAAGGCCTCTCAAAGTCGGGCACAGGGAGCCAGGGACATGGCTCAGTGGCACAGCACCTGCCTGGCAAGTGTAGGGGTGTGAGTTTGATTCTCGGTACCAAAAAATAAAAAACAAAGCAAAGCAAAACAAACAAAACAAAACAAAGCAAAACAAAACAAAACAAAACAAAAGATGTACACACAGTGGTTCCTGCACTTGTGAATATGTTGTCTTAAGGACTAAGAAGACCTGAAGTTGCAGAGGGGTGGGGTGGGGGAGGAGGGTGCATATTTCAGAGGAGAAAGCTGTGTGACAGACACCCAGCCACCGTGAGGTGGAGGGAAGGCTCGGAGGTGCCTGTGCTGCTCTGGTGCAGAGAAGTCAGCAGCGTGGCAATGCTGGCTGCATCTCCAAGTCGGAAAGGTATGAAGCCAGCATTCCATCCCCAGCATTGTAGGGAAAATAAATATGCATCTCCTGCTTGTGGGGTGCATGTCTGTAACACCAGCCCTTTGGGAGACAATGCTGGAGGACTCTGAGGTCAAGCCTAACCTGGGCAAATTAGTGAGATCCTTCCTCAAAAATTTAAAGGACATCAGACAGGCTGGGGATGTAGCTCAGGGCAAGAGTTCTCATTTGAGTTTGCAGAACCACCAAAACCAAGATCAAACAAACAAACAAACAAAAAAATATGGTGGATTTAAAAGAGTTGCACCTGGGAAGGTTTTAGACCACACTGGGCTCTGGTTCTCCCTATGGGTCTCTCAGACTCGCCCACCTGGAAGTTACTCTTGAGCTGTAGAGGCCCAGGCTCAGTGCTCACAGCGGTCCTTAGCATGGACTGAGGACTTGAGCTCCAAAAGCAGCTGTTTGCAAAAAGCTCAGGAGGGAAGACAGCCAGGCATGAGGGTGCATGCCTGTAATCTCAGCACCCAGGAGGCTGAGGCAGGAGAACTGCTCCAAGTTTGAGACCAGCCTGGGCTACAGGGTGAGCTCAAGGCCAGCCTGAACTACATAATGAGGTTCTGTCTCAAGACACACACACACACACACACACACACACACACACACACACACACACATACACACACAATGAGGAAAACAAGACTGACATGCTGGTAGTTACATTTCAATTATGCTATTATGATTTATAGGAAATCACTTAATAACAACAAAAAGAAAGAAAATGCAAACTCACCGCAGCCTTAATTGTAAGATGTGGAACGGTTCTTCCTTCTCAGGGTGTTTTCTCTTCAGCTGGCCTGGGAGGAGGAGGAAAAGGGGGAGGCAGAAGAGACTGTGACATTGAGACCTTTCTGAAGCACTGGCCATGTGAAAATGTATTTGGAAACGTGTGTTCAGGTCCCAGGGGGAGCCCCGTGGTAATCAGAGGCCCCTGGGGTCTTGGAAACGGGGGGTTCCCAATCATCCTCTACCTCTGACACCAGGGCCTCTTCCCTGCAAGAGCACTTCTATCCCAGACTCCTCTTATTACTCTGGCGGCCTGCAGGGGTCCATCTTGGCTCTGACCCATCTCATTACCATGCCACTGCCCTTGTAGGTTATTTCCATGGCTCGACTCTGGCTCTGACACCCCAGGGGCCCACCGCAGGTATCTCTCTGGCACTTGGTTGGAAGGCAGACCAATGGAGCATTGGGCACACAAATGAGGGGTTCACTGGCACTTATCTGTATACACCTAAAAAGCCATCTGGCCAGTTACCTGGTCACCACGCCCGACGCCCACCGCTGTCCCGCAGTACTACACACCATGGTGGACTATATTGCGCCCCTGTCACACCCACTAGTATCCCCTGGTCCACCTGGTCACCCCCTGCCGCCCCCCTGTCAGTGCCACTGCAAGGCCACAGGCCTTCCCAGGCCGGCTGGGCCCAAAGCGCCTGAAGGTGCTCGCACACCGGTGGCATGGTTACGGCGCATGCTCAAGATCTGCGCACCCCACGGTTCATGCACGGATCTCGGTGGAGCCCTGCTAACGGCTGGGGTCTGTCACCCCTGCTCGCCCGTCACCCCTGCTCGCCCCAGAGTCCCAGGGTCACCACTCGTACGTGTGTAACACTGTCACGGGGATCAGACTGGGAAGTCAGTGCTGCTAACTACAGTTTCCCACACATCAGGGTCACACTTGCACACTCCAGTCAGCCTTGCCTGGGACAAGGCGCATGTGCACATCTCTGTGCCAAAGCACAGCCCCAGCGCTAGACACTGCACGCACGTGCACGCACATTGGGGATGTATGCGCATGCGTTGTTTCTCTCTCACTCCCAGAACACAGACTATGACTTTTTTTTTGTTTTTTGTTTTTGTCTTTTTATGGGTACTGGGGATCGAACTCACGACTGCCTGCTTCCAAGGCAAGCGCTTATGCCGCTGAGCTAAATCCCCAGCCCCAGACTATGACTTTTAAAATGTAGTTCTGAGTTCCAAAGGTTTCTGTAGTGGTTGATTGTGTCAACTTGAGACAGCTAGAAGCTAACTAAATGGGCTTAGCAATTCTACATCCAAGGATGTAGAAGACCCACCTAGGGTGGGTTATCACCTTGAGGTATAAAAGGGGAGGAGGAAGGACAAATCCATTCCATTCTTGGGAAAAGCTCCAGTCTTCGCCTTTGGTTTAGACTTTGCCTCCTGGCTTTCAGTTTAGACTCCTCAGCTTTCCAGCATAGACTCTATAGCCTTTCATCACAGAGCCTTCGGCCTTCTGTCGCAGACCCATCAGCCTGCTGGTGTGGACTTGCACAAGACACTCGGGTGAACTCCAGACACTATAGTAACTACTATTATGTCGAGATTATCTTATGGTGAAACACTATTTTACTTAAATGGCCATGTTTTGACCTGCGCTGTTTTGTTGTTATGCCCTCTTTTTTATCTCAATCTCCTTTTTATTATCTACTTTTTCATTTTTATCCTTTTAATTAAGGGAAAAATAAATAAAAAATAGCAGGATACATTATAGTAACCCACTTTGATTTCCTCCAGCACTTTGGTCTTGTAGCTTCTGTGGTCTTCTGGCGTCTTGAACTGTTGCCCCTGTGCTATGCGACCCTGCCTTGGATCCAGCTGATTATGAGTTAAATAAACCTTTCCTTCCTTATTCTGGGCATTGGGTAATTTGTCCCAGCAAGAAGAGAAAAGTAATCAATCCATGGCTGGTAAGTGAGGGCATACTGAGTGACAGCCGTGCATGGCCCTGTCACAGTCCACGGTGACTGCTGTTGTGTCAAGGGAAATATACAGTGCAAACCGTACAGACACAGGAAGCGTAATGAACAAAAAGGGTACGTACCTGAACTCAGCGTTAACACCGGTTCAACTCGGTCCCCTCGGGCGGCTGCCTCAGGACAGTCTGGGGGATGGAGAGAGAGGGACTTGAGATGGTAGGCCTTTCTGAATGCAGCCCTACTTGGAAACATACTCCCTGGCACACTCGACTCCTGTGCAAACTAAAATAAACCCTAGATCAGACAACACGGGGGCCACAGTGTTTCAGGGATTCCCTGAGATTGGCCACCTGTCTCTTCTCTCAGAAGGGCCGCAGCCCAAGCTGCCTCCTGTCAGTCAGGAAGCCTGCACCAGAGCAGTTTGGGTGAAGACTGCTACCGTGTGATTACGTATGTTTCCCTGGCTATTTACCCGAGTCACAGTTTGCACATCCGAATGGGACCACTGCTCCCAGGCAGGTGCCAAGGGTTGGCAGGTGAAGGTATAGAATGCGGCAGGCACAGCAGAAACACCTGCTGCGCTGCTCTGCATCCGTGCACACTAGACAAGAGGTACCCAAAGCTTCCAACATCACTCTGGACAAGCCACGGACAAAGCTGCGGGCCTTGTCACACCCACTGAGACCCCTGCGAGAGACGCTGCGCTGCCCCGGCACACAGGGACAATATATTCCTCAGCCTGGAGCGATCTGAGTCACTTAGCCTGCAGAGCCCTCCCGGGGCAGCGTGGCCAAGTCAGCTTCACCCAGACCACCGCCTGGCAGAAGTGCGCACAACTGAGCCAGTGCGGAGACTCAGCGGCCATGACCCCGGCATGCCCTCTGCAGGCAGCACAGGCAGAGCTGACCTTCCGTGGACGCCTGGTTGGACCCTACCAACTCGTGGCCCACTGCTGGGTGACAACAAATAGGTTCGCATGTAGCCTGCGCCGGAGTCAGCTGCACCATTTGCAGCACACGCGAGAACCGCACAGAACACCACTCAAGCACATTCGCTGTCACTGTCTATAGGCGGGGCAGCCCAGTTATATTTGCACAAGCACAAGGTGCTCCTGGGTTTGGCAGCTTCCTGCGTTGGGATCTTCCCTGCAGGGCCTCACTGGTGACAGTGTCCATGGAAACCCAATCCCAGCATGGAATGCGGCAATTGCCGCGCAGGCGCATTACAGCCCCATGGGGCCGCAGAGTGGAGGCATCCCTGGGCCCACACAACCTGATTACAGAGGCGCAGGCTCGTGCGTGGCCGGCATAAATAGTTGGGCCCCTAGGAATGCGGGCGGGGGCGGGGGGGGGAAGGGGCAGAAGGTGCCGGCCGTGCTCCTGGGTTGCCACGGTTGCCGCGGTGACGCTGGGTTTTGCTGGCTGCCACGGCTGGCGCAGCCTGGGGCTCAGAGCGCCGACCAGCCCCGTGGGTCCTCCTTTCTGTGGCTGCGCACTGGCCTCACAGCTACAAGAGTGCGCGCTTCTAAACTGACTGGCCGCTGGACTCTCAAACCACTGAATATATCTATATATATTTATTATAATATTTGAAGTTACTCAAACATATAGAAAGAAATCTGAAGAATTGGGGTCTGGTGCTTCTCTTCTGTTACCCTGGCCCGGGGGAGGCTAAGGGAGGTGGGCTGTGAGCTTAGCACCAGCCTGGGCTATGCAGTGAGACTGTGGCTCAGAAAACCAAACAGCGTCTGGGGAACAGAAGAGTGGGATTTCTTTGTTTGACACCTTTCACATTAGCGCTGTCCTCGTAAGTGCTAAGGAGGTGCTTACAAACCTCAGCACAGGAATCGTCTATTTAAAATTTTTTTTATTTTTTGGTACTGGGAATTAAACCCAGGATCTTGCACTTGCCAGGCAGGTGCTGCGCCACAGCAGAGGAAACGTAAGGTGAGAGGCCCCTGGTGCAAGAGCAACGTCGGTACCTGACCTCGGCGTCCCTCCCTGTGCCCAGCCTCCCTGCCTTCACCCCAGCACTGTCCCCAGGCCGAGGTCAGGCTGCGACCTGAGATGCTTCCGTTTATTTCCCCTCCTCGTGGGTTATGGATGGTGTAATCTTCAGGGCCCTCGGGATGGTGGCACTCATGGAATCTGGCTGCTATGCACACTTGGGCATTCTTTTGTGTTTTGGGGCTGGGAATCAAACCCAAGGCATAATGCATGCTAGGAAATTAAACTGCTCTACCACTGAATTACAACGGCAAACTGTAAGTGAGAATATGTACAGTTAGAAAAAATAGAAACAATAGTGTAAATTAAATGAATAATGGTCTATATAATGGCATGGAATATGTCTTTTCCCTTTGTTGTAGACTAAACCCAAGGTTTTTACACTAAACCGGGGGCTATTTTTTTTGAGACAAGGTCTCACTATGTAGTTTTGGCTGACCTTGAACTCCTGCCTCAGCCTCCCTAGTTCTGGGATTACAGGCAGGCACCACCATACCCAGATTGTTACCTCCTTTTTTTTTTTTTTTGTCTTTTTGAGACAGGGTCTCGTTGTGCAGTTCAGGCTGGCTTTGAACTCCCTTTGTAGCCTAGGCTGGTCTTGAATTCGTAAGGATCCTCCTGCCTCAGCCTCCCGAGTGCTGGTATTACAGGCATGAGCCACCGACGCCCGGCTGTTACCCCTTTTTAAACCTTATTATTATTATTTTTTTATTTAAGAGGAAAAAGAGAAAAACACAAAACAAACCAAAGCGGTGTAAGGGTACACGTAATACAGAACTACAAAAACAAACAAAACAAAACAAAACAAAAAAAACATAACAGTAAGAAATCACCTGTTAGTAGATTACATATTATCATCTTGAAAATAGTTGCTCAAATCACAGTATCAAAGAATACAAGGTGGACATTCAAACAGGGAGACTGCAAACAGCTGTGCTCAATGATCCAAAAACATTAATATAGTCAGCTATTTAACACCCCTAAACATACTTGCTGTTATATCCATTAGAGCTCTTTTTTTCCCCCTCTCCTTTTTACAACAAAATTTACACATTTTGGATTTTATTACTCTTTAGTGCTTATTACTTTTTTTGGGGGGGAGAGAATAAAGTCAAATATGGCAAAACAAAGTTGTCAGTCAAAACCAAGGATAGACATAGCACATGATGTAGAACAGAGTACAAGGTTATCAACAATGGTTATCAACGTTGTCCCTTGTTTCCTTAAAAAGAATTGTCTATCTCATTAGATATTATAAAGTTGGACAAAACAGTAGAGAAAAAGACCAATAAAACTTAGGCATTGTAAACATTACAGGACTTCCAAAGAAGACAATAGTCAAACCAGAATGGGTAACTTAGTGAATCTTATTGCCTTCAAAGTAGTTGCGTATGTCTTCAAACTTGATACTATCATATAGAATGGAACAGAGTCTAATCGGTCAAAACAAGATTGTGGGAGTACTACAGGACTTCAAAACAAGTTAATAGGAAATCAAAAAGAGTTACTATTTATATATCTAATTTTTAAAATTTTTTCTTTAATTAAGACAAACATAAGAAATGACTAAATTTTTTTTTAAAACAATAAGGGGGAGATTAAGATAAAACAGGACAAAGCAATATAACAATAGAGGTCAAAGCATGACTGTTTCAGCAACCTAGTATTTCACCACCATATAACCCGACTTAATAGTAGTTACCATAGTGTCTGTCTTTTTCCTTGAAATGTTTGGATAAAACTTCATATACTCTAGCTTCAAATATTTTCATATCAAGAAGCCCAGAATAAAGCCTTTCTAATTAATGAGTGAAAACTTTATAAGGCTTCAAGGCCACATAATGGGGAATCATGATTACCACATATTTTTATATATTTGAATCATTAGTTACATTAGGGAAACTATTTGGTATTCACACATGCGAGATTGATTTATTTCACTTATGAGTATGGTCTCAAGCTGCGCCCATTTATTGATAAATATCTCAATGTGATCCTTCTTTATAGCTGAATAATACTCCATTATATAGAAATACCACAACTTTTTTATCCATTCCTCAGTTGATGGACACTTGGGTTGTTTCCAAGATCTGGCGATTACAAATTGTGCTGCTATAAACATAGGTGTACATATATCACCGTGGTATGATGCTTTCAGTTCTTCTGGGAATATGCCTAGAAGTGGAATAGCTGGAATAAATGGGATTTCCATTCCCAACTTTTTGAGAAATCTCCAGACAGATCTCCACAAAGGCTGTACCAGTCTACACTCCCACCAGCAGTGCAGGAGAGTTCCTTTTTCCCCACAGCCTCTCCAGCATTTGTTGTCGGTTTTCTTGATCCTGGCCATTCTTTCAGGAGTGAGATGGTATCTCAGTGTGGTTTTAATTTGCATTTCTCTAATGACCAATGATGATGAGCATGTTTTCATGTATTTATTTGCCATTTGCATTTCTTCATCTGAGAATTGCGTATTCATCTCAGATGCCCATTTTTGGATTGGATCTTTGAATTTTGGAGGTCTGAGTTTCTTTAATTCTTTATATGTTTTAGACAAGAGGCCCTTGTCTGAGAGAGAGTTCACTAAAATCTTTTCCCAGTTTGTGGGTTTTCTTTTCACTATGCTGGAGATTTCTTTTGCCATGCAGAAACTTTTTAATAAGAAGTGGTCCCAGTTATTGATTCTGGGAAGAATTTCCCGTGCGGTTTGAGTCCTGTTCATGAATTCTTTACCTACTCCTATGTCTCCAAGGTTTCTACCTAATTTGTCTTCCAACAGATTTAGTGTTTCTGTTTTAATATTCAGATCTTTGACCCATTTAGATTTTAATTTAGTACATGGTGATAGACATGGGTCTAGCTTTAGTTTTCGGCAAATGGAGAGCCAGTTTTTCCAGCACCATTTATTAAAGAGACTGTCGTTCTTCCAGTGAACCTGCTTGGCTCCTTTATCAAAGATAAGGTGGTTGAGTGTGTTTGTAGTTGTGGTTGTATCTTCTTTTTTTTTTTTTTTTGTGGTTGTATCTTCTAATCTATTCCACTGATCTTCGGCTCTGTTTTGATTCCAATATCATGTTGATTTTATTTTATTTTATTTTATTTTATTTAAGAGGAAAAAGAGAAAAACACAAAACAAAACAAAGCAGTGTAAGGTTACACATAATACAGAACTACAAAAAAAAACCATAACAGTAAGAAATCACCTGTTAATAGATTACATATTATCATCTTGGAAATAGTTGCTCAAATCACAGTATCAAAGAATACAAAGTAGACATTCAAACAGAGAGACTGCAAACAGCTGTGTTCAATGATCCAAAAACATTAATATAGTCAGCTATTTAACATCCCTAAACACTCTTGCTGTTATATCCGTTAGAGCTCTTTTTTTTTTCCCTCCCTCTCTTATTTACAACAAAATTTACACATTTTGGATTTTATTACTCCTTAGTTCTTATTACTTTTTTGGGGGGGAGAGAATAAAGTCAAATATGGCAAAACAAAGCTGTAAGTCAAAACCAAGGATAGACATAGCACATGATGTAGAACAGAGTACAAGGTTATTAACAATGGTTATCAACATTGTCTCTTGTTTCCTTAAAAGGAATTGTCTATCTCATTAGATATTATAAAGTTGGACAAAACAGTGGAGAACAAGACCAATAAAACTTAGGCATTGTAAACATTACAGGACTTCCAAAGGAGACAATAGTCAAACTAGTGAAACTCTCTTCTTTTAGCTTTGGGCTTGACTTGCTCTTCTTTTTCTAGCTGTTTGAGGTGTAGCATCAAGTTATTTATTTGTATTCGTTCTGTTTTCCTGATGTGGGAACTCAGTGCAATAAATTTTCCTCTCGGAACAGCTTTCATTGCATCCCACAGATTCCGGTAAGTTGTATCTGCATTTTCATTTTCTTTTTTAGGTATTGTTTAATTTCTTCTTTAATTTCTTCTGTGACCCATTGATTACTCAAGAGTGTGTTATTTAGTTTCCATGTGTTTGCGGAATTTTTGCAGTATCTTTTATCATTAATTTCTAATTTCAGAGCGCTATGATCCGATAGTATGCAAGGGATGATTTCAACTCTTTTGCATTTGCTTAAATATGTTCTGTGAGCTAATATATGGTCTATTTTAGAAAATGACCCATGTACTGCTGAGAAGAATGTGTATTCTGATGTTGTTGGGTGGAACATTCTGTATATGTCTATCAAACCCATTTGTTCACAGGTTTGATTCAGTTCTGTTATTTCTTTGCTCATTTTCTGTCTGGTTGATCTGTCCCTTGGTGTCAGTGGGGTATTAAGGTCTCCTGTTACAATTGTGTTACTGATAATTTGAGTTTTCATTTCTGTTAATAATTGTTTTATATAACTGGGTGCTCTGGAGTTTGGTGCGTATATATTTAAGATAGTTATCTCTTCCTCTTGGAGTTTTCCCCTTACGAGTATGTAGTGACCTTCTTTGTCCTTTATGGTCATTGTTGGTTTAAATTTCACATTGTCTGCAAACAGAATGGCTACTCCTGCCTTTTTTTGGATTCTTGCTGCATGAAGAATTGTTTTCCATCCTTTGACTTTCAGTCTGTGAGTATCCTTCTGGGTTAGATGGGTTTCCTGTAAACAGCATATGGTTGGATTTTGTTTCTTGATCCATTCTGCTAGTCTGTTTCTTTTGATTGGTGCATTGAGACCATTTACATTAATGGTTATTACTGTTAAATGCTGGTTAATTGTAGGAATGTTATCTCTCTGCTGTCGCATCTTTATCTTTCTGTTCTGTTTAATTATTTGCTTTGCTTAGTGGTTTTTTCCTTTGTGTATCTAAACTGTCTTTCAATATTTTTTGCAGGGTAGTTTGGTGTTCATGAAGTTCTTCAGCTGTTCTTTGTCATGGAAGTATCGTATTGCACCATCTATTTTGAATGATAGTTTTGCAGGATATATCAGTCTTGGTTGGAAATCATTTTGCTTTAGGATATAGAATACTTCACTCCATGCTCTTCTTGACTTTATTGTTTGTGCTGAGAAGTCTGCTGTGATTCTGATAGGTTTTCCTTTATAAGTGATCTGTCTTTTCTCTCTGACAGCTTTTAGTAATCTATTCTTCTGTTGGATTTCTGGGATGGTGATTATTATATGTCTGGGTGTAGTTTTATTTTGGTTATGACTATTTGGAGTTCTATATGCTTCACTGATCCTGATGTCGGTTTCTGATCTCATGTTTGGGAAATTTTCAGCTATTACTTCTCTAAATATCCTCCTGACATCCTTCATGTTGTCTCCCTCTCTTTCATTAATCCCTATCATTCTTATATTATTCTTCTTTGCATCGTCTTGTAGTTGTTGAATTGTTGTTTCCTGATTCCTTGTTATTTTCAAAAGATCTTTCCTTTCCTGTTCATTAGCTGCAATCCTGTCTTCAAGGTCTGAAATTCTATCTTCACTTTCATTAAGGCGGTTTTTACAACTTTCAGTGGAGTTTTTTATTTCCTGTATATCTCTGTGCATCTGCATTATGTATTCTGTTTGTTTCTTATATTGCTCGTCTAGGGATTCTATCTTTTTGTTTAGTTCCTCCAATTTTTTATCTGTGTTTTCTTTAGATATATTTAGAATCTCTTTCATTTTTTTTTATCATTTCTTCTTTTATCTGGGAGATTATTTCGAGTTTGAATTTCTTTAAAGCTTCCTGGAGTTGCTTGTCAATTTCAGTGGCTATTGTGTCCAATATATGAGGTGGATGGGATATATTTTCTTCTATATACATCGCTCCTAGGGTTTCTTGAGATGGGCTGGAGGTTTGAGGTTGTAATTTGGTCTTTTGTTTTGTCATTTTCCTATATTTCTGTGTTTCAAGTGTTATTTGAAAGCTTCCTCAGGATCTGTTGAAAATCCCCTTCTATGTTTGGAGCTACTGAGACTCTGGCACTGCGCTACCCCAAGCCATTGGGCCTACAGAACCAGTGGCCCTCCTCTGCCTGCTCAGAACTCCGCAGTTCCAGACAAGCTGGGCCTCAGGGACACTGTGCGCCCACCTGCCCCTTGGAAGCTCCACAGTTCTTGAATCACAGCCGGGTTAGGGTACTCACCACAGGCTGCAGAGCCTCAGGAACCTGTGGACCCTCCCTGGTTGCAGAGATATCCACAGTCCTCCAGACACATGGAGAGGCCGATGCAGGCACCCCAAATCTGCCCAGCTCCTCCTCTGCAGACCAATGGCCAGGCGCGGCAGCTAAACAGGCTGGGCTAGGCTGATAGTGTGGGCCCGCCCACCCGTCGGGAGCTCACCAATTCTCCAAGTGTAACCGGAATGGGGAGGCTGATGTGGAAGCCTCAAACTCACCTCTCCCCTTCACTGCACCTGGAAGCCTGGGGGAACTCCAGCAGTCTGGGCGGAGATATCCAGAGTCCTCCAGACACGCAGAGAGGCCGGTGAGGGCACCCCAGATCTGCCCAGCTCCTCCTCTGCAGCTTAAACCTTATTTTGAGACAGAGGATCACTGTCATTAAATTACCTAGCTGGGCCTGAACTTGCAATCTTCCTGCCTCAGCTTCTGAGAGTGCTGAGATTATAGGTGTGGGGCACTAAACCCTGTGGGAAGTCTAGAGATGATACTGATTCAGGTCAACTGAGAAGGAATTTATGATGGATGATTAAACAAAAGAAGTGGGTTTAAAAACAGAGGCTGGAATAAGAACCGTGGGAGCAATGAAACCCAAAATGTGTAATAGTCATTATACAAAAGAGAGGAAAAGAAAGTGCTCTAAACTATATAACTGCATGTATATTTAAGTGTATAAGATAGAAAATGATATCACAGAGTTTTATTGGATCATTGAACAGAAATGTTTGCAGTATCATTGTTGGAATGTCCACTCTACAAGCTTTAATCTAGTGACTTGAACAATTATTTTTAAGATGGCAAAATGTAATCCATTAACGAGTGATTTCCTACTGTTCATTTTTTCTTCTGTAAATCTGTATAACTTGTACCCTTTCACTTTTTTTTTCTTTTCTCCTTAAATAAAAAAAAAAAAAGGTTACCAAAAAAAAAAAAAATAAAATAAAAACAGAGGCTGGGTGATGAGGAGGCTGTAATCTCACTTTGCCTCAAAAACATGGCCCTGGGCCCAGTCTCTAGCAATATATGCACACATGTGTCGCAAGTCCTGAAAAGTAGCTGAGGGAGGCTGGAGATGAGGTAGGGGTGGGGAGCCCAGCAATGGGGCAGCCTAGGAGTTGGGGAAATGTGGACACAGGCATCTCCAAAGAGTGTGGTGCAAACACCAGGGCTTACCTGCGAGACACACCCGCCTTGGACGTCAGGGAGTTCAGAGACTAAATCTAGGCTGATTTAAGCCACCAAATCCAGGACGGCTTGGTTGTTACTGTGGCAGGCAGGACAGGGCGTGAGGCCTGATGAGCAGCATGAGCTTCCTACACCTGCTGGCCCATGTATGTGGTGTCTCCATGAGGTGCTCAGACTCTGGGCATCACACACTGCCTGCTGCCCGCCCACACGGGCCAGGGAACTGAAGCAGGTGCACAGAGATGGGGACAGAGGCTTTGGTCAGGACATGCGTCCACGTGCCTCTCCCCTTCCCTGAGTAATCAGTTTCAATCTCACACCTGGCTGGGTGTGGTGCTGCAGGCCTGTACTCTCAGAACCACAGGAGGCTGAGGTGGGAGGCATACAAATCCAAGCTAACTGGGCAATTTATTTATTTATTTTTTTTTTTTGGTCTTTTTCGTTTTTTTTTTTTTTTATCGGTACCGGGGATCGAACTCACAACTGCCTGCTTGCAAGGCAGGCGCTTATGCTGCTGAGCTAAATCCCCAGCCCCTAACTGGGCAATTTAGTGAGACCCCAGACTCAAAATAGAAAAAAACAAAAAGAGCTGGAAGGCTAGATGTGATGACACATGTTGGGAAGCTGAGGCAGGAAGAGTGCCCGCCCAGAGCTCAAGGCCAGCCTTCGTGACGCAGTCAGAACCTGTCTCAAAAAAACAAAACAGAACAGCACAATAACAACAACAAAAAGGGGCTACAGATAATAGGGTTAGAGAGACAGCCCTGGATTCAATTCCCAGTAGTGCAAAAAAATTTAAAATCGTATTAGATATAATATTTCTGAAGTATCTTGTTTTTCTTTTCTTTTTCTGAGACAGGGTCTCACCATGTGGTCCTGGTTGGCTTTGAGCTCCCTTCTGAGGTATCTTGTTAGGGGACTCTCATGGATACCCATCTTTAAACACATCTGTATGGCTTCACCGAGGCATACACATTTCCCCTTTGCATGGCCAAGTTGGATACACTTGCTTACAGTTGCACAATATTCTATGAGATGAAGGTGGGAAAATTTACCTAGTCCAATCATGAGAAGAAACCGAGACAGCCAAAGCCCGACATAAGGGCACCCTACAGCATACATCACCTTTGAGAACCGCCAGCATCCTCGCATACGGGTCAGGTCTGAGACGGTGTCACAGCCAGGCACAGTTGGTGGAGCTCAGACAGCAGGGCGTCACGCAGCACTCTGGAAAAGACCCTGGAGAGATGCAGGACTCTCAATAGAAGCCAGGGAAATGGCTGGGAGAAGAGTACTGGGTGAGGCCCTGGGTAATTACCAGCACCAGCTACCAGAAACACAAAAGCCAAGGGCACCCAAACAAATCCTAGGGTTTAGTGAGTAATATGAAGGTCAGTGTGGTGCTACATGTGGTACTTGCTTGGGAGGCTGAGGCAGGAGGATCTCACTTTTGAGGTTACCTTGAATAACTTGGTAAAGACCCCGTTTCAAAACAAACAAACAAACAAACAAACAAACAAACAAACAAGAAAAGGGTATGTATGCAGCTCAGAGATCCTGTGTTCAAACCTTAGTACTGCAAAACCAAACCTAACCTATCCAAACCAAGAGCCAGAGAGGGTGGGAGAGGAGAGACAGCTGATATAAGTCATTGACCATTCCACGGCCAGCCATGGCCGCAGTGTCTGCTGGTGCCCTGGGGTGCAGGGAGGGGTGTGTGAGGCTGAGGCCTTGATGGGCCTCTCCGAGACACCTCCACTTTGGTGGCAAACTGAGCTGCTGGCAGGAGCAGCCCCTGCAATCGGATGGGGCTCCCTGCACCTCCTGCAGGGGCTGACCACAGGTGGTGCAGTCCTTTCATGAGGACACTAGTCCTAGGGGTAGACCTGGGGGCCACTGTGCAGCTGGCAGAGACACCTTCCCAGTGCGGTCCTGCCTGCGGCACTTACAGGGAGATTAATTTTTTGGCTGTGATTTATTTTTTGGGGGTGCTAGGATTAAACTCATGACCTTGTGCTTATCAGGCAAGTGCTTAAACCACTGAGCCAAATACTAGGCCCCTCTGATTTTTTTTTTTTTTTAAATTTAGGGTCTTGCTGTGTAGCCTAGGCAGCCTCGAACGCACAGCCGTCCTCCAGCCTCAGCCTCCTGAGTGCTGGGATTGAGTGTGCCCCATCATGCCTGCCTACAGGGTAACTCCTGCGTCCCAGGGGCAGCCCACGTGCCCTCATGGGAGCTGGGGTCCAGACCCAGCCATCTTGGTGGTGCTGCTGGCCAACCAGTTCTTGCCGGGTGCAGGGCCACCCCTGGCCCTCTCAGAATGCCCACGTGTCCCCCGCAGCCCTGTGGCCTGCAGTTGTGGCGCAGTTCTGCTGGCTAGGACAGCCCTGTGGGGCCCTGGACCCTGCTCGCGGAACCCGGCCTGCTTGGGACTAAGGACACCAGCCCGGCTCGGTCACCTGAGGATGAGACCCTGTGAGCCGCGGCCTGACGGTGCACTAGCCCTGCCTGCGGCTGGCCGGGGTAGGGCTGCTCGCCAATCATGGGCCAGCCCGGTCACCCCGACCACGAGGAGCCAGCAGGCTGATAACAAGCCTGCCCTGGGGGCCCCGCGGCAGACCTGCTCCACAACCGTCTTCTGGGCAAAGGGCAAGCGAGGAGGGGCGTGTTTTCAGCCTCAATGTGGGCCCTGCAGCAGCCGCAAGCCCTGGCCCAATCCTGCTCGGCCACCCGCTGTGGGCCTCAGAGTCCAGGGTCGCAGCCTGCAGAGTGCTGCAGAGTGCCGGTGGCCTGCGAGTGCACCCTTGTGGCACCTGCCGCGAAGTTCTGCGGCTAATGTGACCCTGAGCTAATAATGTGAACTAAAGTGAGCCCCAGGGATGCTGAGGAAGGGGACTCACAGCTACCTCGAGGGAAAGGGAAAACGGAATAAAAACAGAAGCCATTAAAATACAAGCCAGGAAACACCCAGCACTGCCAGCTTGGCTGTGCAGAAGATAAGACAGGATGCAGTCTAAGGCGAGCTGTTTCTAACAGGTCAATTATAGGGAGGGGAAACAGGGAGAAAAAAAGTATTATTTACAATTAGCCCAGTAGAGAAATAAAAATAAAAAAGAATGTAAAAAGGTAATGAAGGCGTTAGGAACCTCCAAGGCTCCATGAAAGTCTCAAATTTTCAAATCACTAAAGTTCCGTAGGAAAGATGGAGGCTGAGGCTAGAGGATCACTGCAAGTTCAAGGCCAACCCGGGACATAAAGTGATTTTAAGGCCAGCCTGAATTATATAGTGAAGCCTGTCTCAAAAAAAAAAAAAAAAAAAAAAAAAAAAAAAAAAAAAAAAAAAAAGAAAAAGAAAGAAAGAAAAAAAAGGAGGCCAACAGAAATGGGCAGGAATCCAGTTAGAGAAATCCTGGGTAAAACCCAGCAAAACTTGGCAGGGATTTTGGACATGTGGTCCAGGCAAGTCAAAAGACTCCAAGAGAGATCAATCCACACACCCGTAATCCTAGTACTGGGGAGGCTAAGGCACGAGGGTCACCACCACCAGCAGGTAGAGGCCAGCCTAGGCTCCATAGTGAGTTTAAGGCCAGCCTGAACTGCACAGTGAGACCCTGTCTCAAAAAACAAAAGCAAAACAAAAAGCAAAAGATCAATCCATAGAATATTTGCAGCACAGCCAGCAAAGCTGTGCTTCAGAGGGGAGTTGAGGGGAGGCTTTTCCTGGGCAAACAGCAGCCAGGGAGCCCAGCGCCGTGGAGCCTGCTTTATGAGGAAGGCTAGGGTGAATTTTCAGGCTGAAATGAGCGTCACACACAACATGAGAATGTGTCTAACTACAAAACATATTAATAGGCCAGGCCCTGTGGTACCTGGCTGCAATGTCAGCGTGCTGAGGCTGGTGGGTCAGAGGTCCAAGGCCAGTGTGAGCTACACTCCAGACTACCTCAGCTAAACCAAGCACACCAAAGCAAACCAGATCCAAATTCACTAACCAAGGGAGGCATATAATAATGTGCTAATTCTGTAACAGTGGTGGATAAAACACTTCTAAGTCTAGCATGAAAGCTAAAAGATGAACATATTAAGTATGATAGCTGGAATAATTGGTTAAAGGCACACAATTTAAAGGATGCAAAGCCTGACTTAATAAAAATAATACGAGTGAGGGACAAGTGAACGGGCAGAGGTGTTTTTCTGTTATTGAAAAACTGAAGTTGTTGTCAGCTTAAGTAATAGTATAGCTACAAGAAGCTTTATGTAGTCCCATGGCAAACACGAAGATGAAACATTAAAAGCTGAAGAGAAAGGGTTAAAACTTACTACTAGAAAAACTGAAGAGATCATCAGGGATGGCTGCAAGATTGTTAGAAAGGAATAAAGAAAATTCAAAATGCAGTAAACAGTTAACAGAATGGCAGCAGATGGTCCTAGCAGGTAAAGACTGCTTTAAATATAAATGGATTAAATTGTCTAATCAAAAGACGAGAATGGCTGGACACATTAAAAAAAAAAAGAAGATCCCATAATGCTGCCTACATTTTAGCTTTAAGGACAGATAGACAGACAAAAGTAGGGGGCATTCAAGGCAAATGGAAAACCTGAAGAGAACAGGGGGTAAATATACTAATTTACCAAACCAAATTTAAGTAAAACACTGTAAAAAGAGACAAAGCCATTATGTAACTATAAGGGTATCAATTCATCAGGAGAATATACCATTTCTACGCATATATGCACTCAACTTCAGAATAAATATATTAATGAATATGAGAGGAGACATGGATAGCAATACTGTAATATCACCGGCCTGCAGTGTTTTACACTTGGCAGTGGGCAGATTAAACAGGACAGCAATCAGGAACATGAGGCTAGAAATACATTTTATACCAAATGGACCCCAAAGACACATAAAAAGATTCCACTGAACAGATTGGACATGCTCCTCACATAGATAAACCCCCTCTAGGTCAGAGCATTCGGTAAGCCGCAAAGCCAGTCTTAGCAAACTGAAGAGGGTTGAAATCAAACCAAGCAGAGTTTCTGCTCACGGGGTATGATCTTAGGAACCAGTAGGAGTAGTACTGGGCGATTTAAACTACACAGGAATCAAACACCATGATGGGACCACCAAGGGCTCAAGGAAGAAAGTATAAGAAGTTACAAGGCATCTCAGGACAGCCCTGCGGATGTGGTTGGGCCGCAGGGTGCTTGCCTGGTGTGTGTAAAGCTCTGAGTCAACCCAGCACTGTGGGAAAAGACCTTGAGATGAACAGGAACAGAACATGCGAAGACTCAGGGACCAGCAATGGCTGTCCTAGGGCAACGCTTGCAGCTAGGGGCACCTATCTTATGGAGAGGGAGAAAAATGTTTCACTGAAGGACTTAAAAGGACATACTGAGCCCACAGTTACTAGAGGGAAGAAAGCAAGCATGATCAGAGCTGAATGTAATGGGAAAAGGTCGGTGAAGATTTTTTTTTGTCCTTTTCGTTTTTATTGGTACCAGGGATGGAGCTCACAACCGCACACTTGCAAGGAAGGTGCTTATGCTACTGAGCTAAATCCCCAGCCCCATGGTTGGTGAAGATTAAGAAACAGAGACTGACCCCAGGGAGCCCCGATCTGCATCTTCAGCCCTGAGTTTTGTTTTGAGGGATGACTTGTCACTCAGGAGCCCAGGCTGGCCTCAGGCTTGTGATTTGCGTATCTCAGTCTCCCAAGTAGCTGAATTATTGGCTTGAGCCATCACATCCAGCTTTAAAGCTTTTTTTAAAGAGATAAAAAATAAGAGAAAAAGACCTGCTCCTGGAGAGCAGAAATAAAAGATATGACAACAAGATGAGATACAGGGTCTGGTAAGGGACTGTTAGAAGTAAATGCCAAAACATTGTATAACAGAGGCAATGGATGAACTCCAAGGAACACAACTTCCCATGACTGCATCATAAATAAACAGAAAATCTGAGGACACCAAGAATGGATAGAGAAGACTGAAGAAGTAAAATGGGTTCCCATTTTGAAATGGTGGGACTTCATAGCAGAATTCCACCAAATATTCAAAGAAGAACTGTATTGATTTTTCTGAAATTCTTCTAAGAAATCAGAGGAGGGAAGACTTCTTTTTTTCCCCTCCCTCACTCCCATGGGTGTGTGTGTGTGTGCTGTGTGTGTGTTTGCGAACCCATGTGAACCTTCACACTGAGCTACCCTCAGCCCTTTATTTTTAAAATAGGGCCTCGCTAAATCTCATGAAGTTGCCCAGGAAGGGCTCCTTCCTCAGCCTCCTGTGCACCACCACACAGGAAGGAGGAGGGAATGTTTCAAAACTTCCAAACTGTTTTGAGGCAAGCATTACTCTGATCCTAAACCCAAACAAGGACAGGTCACAAGAAGAAACTTTAGAGGGCAACAGCCCTAATGAAAAGAGGCGCAATGATTCTCAATAAAATATCAGTGAACCAATGTGCACTCTAAGTGCATCATAATGATCCTGTACCACAATCACAGGGATTTACCCCAGAGATGCAAGTATGAATTGACAAACACACAAATCTGTCAATGAGATATACCCAATTAATGGAAGTACAAGACTGGTGGTCATCTGAAGATGTGCAAAAACAAAAACAAGCTAATCAAATTCTTTTGGTGACAAAACCTCAGTAAATTAGGTACAGAAGCAACATTCCTCAGATACTCAAATGCATACAATCAGCTTTGTAATTAACAGTGTACTATGGTCGATATACTATGCCAACTTGAGAAGTTTAGAAGTTTAACTAAGAGACTCAGCAGGGAGCCAGGGTCCTTACCTTGTAAACATCCTCATCCTGTGCAAGAGGGCAGCACAGAGATTTTGTGAGTGCTACACCGGCCCTGGGGTATGGGGCGCAGGGTGGTGGTAGCCTGCATGCAATATAAGGGAGGAAAAAAGGCTTGTTCCCCTGCCACCCCTGCTTTTGCTCTGGCTGCTGCCTTGAGCTGTTGCCCCTGTACCATGCCCCCACCTTGGAGCCAGCTGATTAAGGACTGAAACCTTCACAAACAGTGAGCTCAATAAACCTTTCCTTCCTTCATTTTGAGTGTTGGGTATTTTGTCCTAGCAATGAGAGAAAAGAAATTAGCACATAGTGATAATTGGAATGCTTCTTTCACTGGAGGAACTAGAAACGGTGTCTATGTTCATCACTTCTAGGCAAGATTACTCTAAGTGGTAGCCAGAACAATCAGACAAAAAGTAAATTTACTATAGTTGTAGAATACAAAATTGACATTTTGTCAGATTTATTATACATAAACAGTGATCAAGCTGAAAAAGAATCAAGAAATAAAACAAACCAAATACTTAAGAGTAAATCTGAGTTAGGAGATCAAAGACCTACATGTGGGAAAATATAAAAAGTATAGGTAAAAAATTAAAGAGGACATAAAAGAAAGATATTCTACATTCATGGATAAGAATAATCAATAGTGTTGAAACGTGCTTATTAATCAAAGTGATCTCTACTTTTTTTTTTTTTTTTGTACCAGGGGTTGAACTCACAGTTTTTCACTTGCCAGCCAGGTGCTTGTGCTACTGAGTTAAATCCCTGGCATTATCTCCACTTTCAATGCAATTCCTACTGATCAGTGTTTTACACAAATACTTGTATAATTTATTTAGGTTCACAAAATATTAGTCAAAGCAATGGGCAGCAAAAAGAACAAAGCTGTAAACATCACACTGCCTGAATACCCATAATTCAACCCATAGTTGAATACCCATAACTATGGAATGTATTAAAAATGTTTCACTTTAATTTTCTTTTTTGGTATTGGGGATTGAACTCATGACCTTGTGTTTGCCAGGCAGACACTGATGCTGCTGAGCTAAATCCCAGACCCTTCTCTTTAAATTTTTGTTCCTTGAAGTTTTCTACGTAATATGTGAATTTTATGAAATTTCATGCAAAAATTCAAAAAATTGCAACCTTTGGCATAAAAGGGACAACTAAGCCAGGCATGGTGGTGTACAGCTGTAATCTCAGCACTCAGGAGGCTGAAGCAGGATTATTACCATAAATCTGAGGACAACCCTGTCTCATAACCCTCCCAAAAGACAACACCCCCCCAAATAAAAACAAAGAACAAAACAAAAGGATGCAAAGTTTCAGTCAGAGAAGAAGGATAGGTTCTAGAAGTAATTACATGAATGTTCTCACCACAAAATCAGTAGGGACATGAGGCATGTATTAATTTATCAAAGTATGTTGATATACCACTATCAATGTCAAAAATAATTACAATCCCCTCCCCCGAGTTCAAACAATTTTAGCATTTGGTGTATTCCTTTTTAAAAATTTTTTTATCGAACTCAGGACTGCCTACTTGCAAGGCAGGCGCTTATGCTGCTGAGCTAAAGCCCCAGCCCCTGCAACTCTAGCATTTGATTCTGCATAAAAACCAGTCCCTTCCTCTTCAAACCACATGCTAATATGGCAGAGCCTGACACATTCCCCGAGGAAGAATTACTGGGCTAAAGTTTTCTTAAGGGAGGATAATTTGGGCCAAGGAAAGTGAGTAGTTTTAAGTCATATAAACACAGTCATTTAATGAACAGCAAGGAAACTCACCTGGGTTTTGACTTTAAAATGTGTAACAGTTCTTCCTCCCGAGGCTGTCCTCTCTTCAGCTGCTCTGGGAGGAAGAGGAGAGCAAGAATGAGGCAACAGGGCCTTTCCAGAGGGCGGGCTATAGTAAAGAAGACGTTGAAAGGCTGGGCGTTGAGTGTCCAGAAACTCCTCAGTGGATGAGCCCTGGACCAGCCAACTGTCTAACACCTCTGCAGGGCAAGCAGGAAGCTGTCTTTCTCATGGTGTTCCTGTGTTTTGTTTCTCCTCAATTTCTCCTTCTTTTTTTGTCTGCAGTACTAGAGACTGAACCCAGGGGTTTTACACTGAGCCACGTACAAATGTCTTTATAAAAATTTTGAAACAACGTTGCTAAATTGTCTAGAAGGACTTACATTTTTAAATCCCCTGCCTCCTACAGTGCTGGGATTACCGGTGTGGGTCACCAGGCTGGCTAGAAAATCTACTCAACTCAGGTAGCCTGCACGAAGGGAACTGGCTGAGAGTGGTGGGCCATATCTGTAATCCCAGCACTTGGGAGGCTGAGGCAGGGGGAATCACTGTGAGTTGAAACCAGCCTGGGTTACACTGTGAGTTCAAGGCCAGTTGGAACTACATAGCAAGACCCTGTCGCAGAAAGACAAAAGCAAAACGACAAACAAACAAACAAAAAATCTGCTATCTGGTGACTACGTTGTCCTCCCGGTTGTTTTGGTGTTAGGGATGAACTCCCGCGCTAGCTCATCCCACAGGCTTTTTATCACTTGTCTATCCCTTGTTTCTTCTATGTTCTCCCCGTCAGCCACTTTTGTGACAGGGCCCTGGTTCTCCGGTACCTTGGACCACTACTCCTGCGCAAACCCTTCGCAGTTTGAAGCTGAAGCCCGGCAGCGCAGCGATGATAGGAGAGACACATGTCAACCCGTCACGCACCCGTGTGCACCCAGGCACCCCTACCCTACGGCCCGCCAGCCTCCACCTGTGTTGCAGTCGGCCACACCCACTGCGCCCGGTCGCTCACACCTGCTACCTACTTATGGGCACTCCCAGCAGGGTCGTGCCAGAGCCCAGGGGCGGCGTCCCCGGTGCTCAGGCGCCCCCACCTCACGCCTGACTACACACCTGTGTCACAGCTGCAACGACGACACAGTCCACGCACACCGCCTCACAGGTTTGTCTCTGTGGCCCCCGCAGTACATACACATCGCATACAATGTCGCAGCTGCGTCACAGGTATAGATGCTCACCTGACCCGTTCCCATAGACACCAACATCCACTTGCCCACCGGTACCATGGTAACCGGGGCGGAAGACAGTGGTTGCATCGCAATGCCCACTCCAGCGCTACCATTCGTCCTTCCGCGCATGCTAGTGCGCATGCGCACACGCAGCCACCACGGTTAAACGGCCGCCTCAGAGAAACGCACATGCGCAGTAGTGTTTTGTCGCTCCCTTGCCTGCTGCAGCCGCGTCCTGCTCGCTGTGACGTGAGCAAACGGCGGTGTCCAAGGAAACCAATGCACGCCTGTCGCAGCATGCAGTCCAGGACAGCGGCGTAGGCTGGATGTGTAAACAGCGGGGGCTTACTGAGGACTGCGAAGGAGGCAATAAAGGAAAAGGGCAATTTGGACGTGTTGTGTGGAGCGCGAACCCTTTGTAAATGCCACACGCTATGCAGGGCACTGGGGTCCGTGCAGTTTGGGGTCTGTTCCTGCGGAGGGTGCGTGGGCGCCCCGGACCCAGCTCCACTGAAGCAGCAGCTACGCGCCGCCTTAGCAGTAGGGTGTACACTTTCAAGCATTAGCAAGCGGACTTTGAAGGAGCTCATTTCTCCTTTAAAAAAAAAAAAAAGCCTCGAAGGTACCCAGAGAAGGGCTAAAATAGTAATTGGGGATCAATTTGCTGAATAAATTTTGCTTCCTGCCACTTGGTGGCACCATCACTGGAACCGAATCCTGGGCCTTGTGGCTGCTAGGCAGCTGCTTTAGTGCTTGGCGATTTCCTGGTCCCAGCTCCCTAAATTCCACGGGTTAGATGAACTTGTGACCCTCCTGCTTCAGACATGGCTGCCGCACTCTTTCGAATCTACATATGCCTACATGAAGAACTATCTGGAAAAATGGCTCAAAACCTAAGGCATACACTGTAGAACTGACAGTTCTTTCCATGTTGCTCCCTATCAGAAGGTGAAGTGTGATTTTTACTTAGAAGCTTTTGTTGGTTATTTTTAAGAAAGGTTTTTTAAATTTCAGGCTGGCCTTGAACTCTCACAAATATAGCCCAGGCTGGCATCAAAACTTGTAATTATCTCTTGCCTCAACCTTTCAAATGCTGGGATTATAGATAGGCATGTGCCACCACACCCACTAGAATAATTTAAAATGCAAAAAAAAAAAAGCACAAAATAAACGACAGGTAATAAGCAGGAAGATGGAGTTTTGCCGGTGGGAAGGGGACGAAGAGATGAGGGAGGGAGGAGGGAAGAAAGGGGTAGGGGAGGAAAAAAGAATTAAGATGTGGTATATATATGTACCAATTCTCCACAAGGGATGTGGAGAATTTTTTTTTTACTAAACTATATACTAATAAAGAATCTGTGATGGAGGATAAATTATGGCCTGCTATGTAAAGGCATGGAATATATTTACCGATTAAGATTTTATTAATGATTTATGATTTATAAAGTAGATTTAATCATGTAAACATAGTCTGGGTAGGCTGTCTTAGTAAATTTAAGAATATAGGCACTGTAGTCTGACATTCAGGACATGAATCTGAGCTTTTATCCTTATTAACCTATTTGCATATTGGTGGACATGAGATAATGATTGTCCCAACTTGTAAGTAAAATCATCTACAAAAAATATCCAGTAGAGGCTAGGGATATAGCTTAGTGGCATGGTGCAGCTTGGCAAGCGCAAAGTCCTGAGTTCAATTTCAGGTGCCAAAAAAACAACAACAAAATCAAAAATGCCCAAAACAAATGAACACCAACAACAAAATACCCAGTACAGGCTGAACATCCCTAATTCAAAAATTATGCATTTTAAATTGCTTGGGAAGACCTCTGAGAAGATGGTGGAATAAGATTGATCAAAGTCAATGAAAAAGGAGCTAGTATAAATGACTCAAAAATCCTGTTCACAGAATTAATGGCAGCAAGCATCCTAAGCATGGAAAAATAATTTGACATACAATAAGTGAGGTATATAAATTTCAATCAATTATGATCAGAAAAAAAATCTCTAGCACTTGCGAGGCCGACGCAGGAGGATCATTGCAAGTTTGAGACCAGCCTAGGCTACAAAGTGAGCTCAAGGCCAGCCTGAACTGCAGTGAGACCCTATCTCAAAAAGACCAACCCCACCAAAAAAACAAAAACAAAAACAAAAACAAAAACAAGCAAACAAAACCAAAGCAAAACAAAAAACCAAACAAAAAACCTCATGTTCAGAACAAGAACAGACTATTATAAGATTTAAGAGAAATAAAATAAATCACTTAAAAAGGAAAGCCTATTAGAATCACAGCAGACTTCTCAACATAAACCCTTAAAACCAAGGAGAGCTTTCAAACTCTAAAAGAAAACAACTTACAACTCAAACTGATGTACCCCACAAAACTATCTACAGAATTGATAGAGAAATAAGATACTTCCATGGCAACATCTGAGGAATTTCAGGAATACCAAACTAGTACTTCACAAGGTCCAAATGTCCTAAAGACATTCTAGAAAGATAATGAAGACTGCAACACCATGAACCCTAATAGAATAAATCCATCAGGCAAGGCAAGTAATTAAATAGTGGGGAAAGAAAGGGAACCAGCAACAGGAAAATAACACAAGGATGGGTCAATAGATACCAGTTATAACCATCAAAATAAATGGTCTCACCAATCGAAAGTAACAGATCAGCAGAGTGGATGATGAAAGAAGATCCAACGATATGCTGCATATAAGAAAAACATTTAACTCAAAAAGAAATTCACAGGATAAAGGCAAAGGATGGAAAACAGCACTTTATGTGACGGGAACCTGGAAAAAGCAGGGTAGTTACTCTATTTGCAGGCAAAGTGCATTTCAAGCCAAGACTGATTAAAAGAGACAAAGAAGGTCGCTGCATCTTTGTTAAAGGAATAATCCAAGAGGAAGAGCTAACAATCATAATTATATATGTACCAAATACCAGTGCAACCAACTATGTTAAAAAAAAAATTGGGATCCAACTCATGACCTCATGCTTGCCAGACAGGTGCTTATGCTGCTGAGCTAAATCTCTGGCCCTAAACAAATATTAATGGACACAAAACACCAAATAAATACTAACAGAATTGTAATAGGGGACCTTACTACCCTACTAATTTTATGTCTAATTAAACAGATTAATTAAACGTAAAATCAATAAAGAAATATGTAACAAATGGACTTAGTAGATGTCTACAGTGTTCCACCCCACACCATAATACCTATTTTTCTCAGTTGCACACAGGATGTTCTCCAAAACCGATCACATACTACCTCATAGAACATGCTTAAATAAATGCAAAGGAACTGAAATTATCCCATGCCTATTATTGGACCACATTGCAATGAAACTGGAAATGGCAAAAGAAACCACAAAAACTTCATAAACACATGGAAATTAAATAACACCCTCCTAACAACCAATAGGTCACAGATGAACTTAAAGAAGAAATTACAGTTTCTACAATTAAATGATAATACCAAAACAACACACTGGAACTTATGGAATGTAGGGAAAGCAGTTCTAAGGAGGAAGTTTATAATGGTGAATTCCCATATTAGAAAATGAGTGAGCTCTGATAAACAATCTAATGTTGAACTGCAAACTTCTAGCAAAAAGACAGCAAGTGAAGCTCAAAGCTCATATAGGGAGGAAATTACAAATATCAGAGCAGAAGTTAATACAATGGAGACTAAGAAAATACAGAGAATCAATGAATCAAAGAGTTGGTTCTCTGAAAGATTAAATAAAATTGAAAAAACACATAGCTAAATTTATCAAAAAAGAGAAATACTCAAAACCACGCAATTAGGAATGAAAAGTGTTGAATCACAATGAATCTTGTAGAAATCCAGAAGATCATTAATATCTACCTGGAGAAACTCCATTCCAATAAGATGCAAAATAAAGAAAGAGATTTCTAGATACATATGAATTACCAAAGCTGAATCAAGGAGATACAAATATTCTAAATAATCCAGTATTAGTGAAATTGATGATGCAATTGAAAACCTACCATCTGAGTTACTTTTCTTATTGCTGAGATAAAATACCCCGCCCAAAGCTAAGGGAGGAAAATTTATTTAGCTTACAGTCTGTAGAGGTTACAGTCCACAGTTGGCTCGTTCCAAGGCAGGGTGGCCCATGGAAGAGGGGCATCACAGAGAATAGTACATGTGCCCACAAGGTAACAAAAGCAATAAGGGACCTTAACAGCATCACTGTGCCCATTTTATATTCTATCTAGGCTACTGGCATTAAGGCTGTGCCAAACCAATCAGTGGACTGACAAGTCTTTACACACTCTTAATCCCAGCACTGTACCATGAATCAACCACAGACTTTAAATCTAGCCACCTCTGAAAAAGCCCTATGTAAAACTGCATGAGGCTTTGGGGGAACATCTAGACATAAATCATCACATCTAGCAGCAAAGAAAAGCTCAGGGTCTGATGGACTCATTGCTGAATTCTACAAGAAATTTAAAGAATACCGAATACCACTGCATCTCAAAATCTTTAATGAAACTGAAAGGGAACTGATGATACTCCCAAATTCATTCCTGGAAGCAAGCATTGTCTTGATACCAAAACTAGAGAAGGACCCAACTCAAATAAGAGTGAGAATTACAGCCAATCTCCCTGATGAACACAGATGCAAAAATCCTCAGTAAAACACTGGCAAACAAGATGCAGAAAATCATCAAGGTTATGCATCATGACCAAGTAGGATTCATCCCAGGGATGCAGACATGGTTCAACATATGCAAATCAAAAATGTAATATACTATATTAACAGAGTCAAAAACAAAAACCACATGATCATCTCAATAGATGCCGAAAAAGCATTTGACAAAGTTCAACCCCACTCATGCTGAAAACCCTATACAAAATTTTAATAGGTGGTCTTTATCGCAATCTAATAAAAGCCATCAGTGACAAAATAAAAGCCAACATTACAATAATGGACAAAAACTGAAAGCTTTCAATCTAAATTCAGGAACAAGACAAGGATGTCCATTGTTACCACTCCTATTCACTATAGTTCTGGAACCAGCCAGAAAACTTGGACAAGACTTAGACAAGAGAAAGAAATAAGGATAGGAAAGGCAGAAGTTAAACTATCAGGATTAGCAGATGACATGATACTCTATAC